CGAGTCCTAATATACCTTATTAATAAGTCCCGACTGTTTATGCATATATATATATATATATACATATATATGAATGCAGACCTAATGTTTACCTACTGCAATAAAAACAGCCGTATGTATTATATATATATATATGTACTATCTATCTACCGCCTACCGAAAATAACTATCTCCAATAATATCTATTGTTCGTCTCTAGCCGTGGTTGTCGCTGGGAGCGTCAAGCCATATTAAGAAAAGCACTTATTAAATGGTTGGTGGTGTGCGTATCATTTGCACGGCAGTAAGCACCCGCTGTTTGCCTCGTTGTTTGCTGGATATGCATTCATAATAAATACTCCTCTCTACAACAAACGCGGGTGAGAGAGAAGTTGTACAACAAAGGCGTCTCTGCGTCTGCCACTTAACCGTGCTGCTGCTGCTGCTCTCGAGTGTCTACACAGCTCTCCCTCCATGGCGAACTGTCCAGACCGCCCAAAGCTGCTGCCTGCTGATGCTCCTCCCCCTACACCCTCTTCAATAAACAAAGGTCAGGGTGTGCAATACGCTGTCCGCTATTTGTAGAGAAGTTGTGCGTCTCTCTTCTCCCTGTGTGGTAACACTGGGGGAAGTCGTTGTTATGAAAGGTTTTTCCTTCTCATCAAGTGGTTGTGCACTGGAGATCAATTAGAAGCCGCCCTGGTACAGGTACTCAGCGAAGGCAAGTGCCGTTGTCAGCGCATCTGCTTTGTTCTGCTCCTTCTCCTCGTCATAAAGAGCAATCACCACATTGTCGTTCGGAGTCTTAATCAGGAAACCGCCACCCTTGTTCTTCCCCAAAATCGCCACGTCGTAGTTCTGGTCGTTATAGGTGAAATCACGTTTCTGCATCATCGGCCCGAAATAAACAAAGAGAAACGACGAAAATGACAAAAAAAACGAAAACGCCGTCACAAAACACCCTAATTATTCACTTATTCCATCATCATGAAGAACATGACTATTATTACTACCATTCAACTTTGAGGTGTCTGTACACCCCGCGTGGCGATTGCATCCCACTGCACGACACCATGGATGAGCAAGCGCTATTCTTCTAGAGTATGAAGGAAACTTACAACTTCTGCGAGTTTATATTTAACTCCTCCAATATAAACACCGTTTGGGGCACGGCCGTCAACAATTGCTTGCCGCAGGGTTTCCGCTTCATCGCAGTCCTCTTGAGTTGAAGAGCCGTCCTCTTGAAGCACTTCAATCTGATATCCTGTCTTCACCAACTGACTCCACGCATCCTCCCCATTGTCTATTGCAGCGCCAAACAGGCGGCACCCATCTGCAATCTAAGAGCACATCATCACACCCACGCAGAGAGAAGAATGAACAAAGAGCAAATCCATACCATATACTAACACCAACACTAAACAGCGCCCTTCAGAAACTAATATATACATACATACATTTATGCATTTACGTGCGTATATATATACATATACAGATGCAGATATACGTTGTTCATTTGAGCAGAGCATAATTCGTGTGTACACACACATCGTACTCTGCTCGAATATATACACACACACACACACTCATACATTTTATATATATTCTACACAATACCCAGACATACATGAAAATATGTGTGCACACATGCATGATGAGAGTACAAGATGAATGCACACATGCAGATGATATACTTGTGAATCAGAATCTGGTGGGGACGAAATAAAGGAGGGAGGGTGAAGTCAAACAACGCCATTCATACAACGAGGGAAAGATAAAAGAAAGAGGAGGTAATTAACAATAATAATAATAAAGACAGATCCGTAAACACTTTGAACTCTACACTGCAGCATTCATCAAGCGAACACCACCACACACACACTGAGCTGCTCTTTCTAGCTAGCCTTGTGTGCATTAATAAAGCACAAGCCGCATATAACATGCAGAAAAAAAGAAGCATCAGCAGCTCTCTTCCTCCTGCTGCAGCAGCTGCAGCAGCCACCGGTGCAGCAGCCGTAGCAGGGAAGCAACGCAGCCACTTGGTCAGGGAAAGAGCAGCACGAAACAGAAGAAGAAAACAGCGAAAACACCACAAGGGATAGTTGGCTTGTGTGCAAGGGAGAGGAGAACGGCGATCAGCAGCAGCAGCAGCAGCAGCAGCAGCAGCATGGCTCGTTGGGCCTCCCTCCTCTTTTTCTCAGGATGTGTATTTGATAGAGGCGTTTGCTGCTTGCGAAGTTCGCTGCAGCAGGTGTACAAAAGAGCAGCTGCTGCAGCAAGGTCTAAGAAGCAGCAGCAACAAAAAAGGAAGAAAAACAAACAACAACTTACGCTAGCAATGCCGCCGGCGTATACCTTCCCCGTATCCACGAGCCATTCCTTCACTGAGGTATCCCACGCCTGAGTATCAGCCTCTTCACCCATTTTAACTGAGTAAGGAAATACAAAGAAACTACAAACAATGAAGAGAAACAGACAAGAAACACAGTTCTACAGAATAACCAACGCAACAAGCGCAACCACTACCACCGCGACTCGTGCTGCAGCTGGCCGTGTGCGAGGGAAGCTGCTGCTGCTGCTGCTGCTGCGGCTTGCTGCTGCACCAGTCAGTTGTTGCTGCGGAAGCAGCAGCAGCAGCAGATGCATTTCAGCACGCTGACTTCCAATTAAACAAAGTAAATCCAACACAATTTATTCTCCTGTTGTTATTTTATTTATTTCCTCAATTTTAAACCTTTTTATCAGGCTCAGCAGCCTCCAGGCACCTGCCGTTCGTGCTGTTGCCGCTGCTGCTCAACGCAGCAGCAAACCACCAGCGGAACGCTCTGCAAAAAGAGGGTAACAGCGCTTAATTCGATGCTTATTTGACTTTAAATAAGGTTTATAATTTAAATAAAAACAATTTATTAATAAATTGAAAAGAATTACAAGCAATATACCATTATTCAACGCACACTGCAACGTATTCCGCGCCGGTCTATGGCGGTTCGGTACGAAAGAGGAGCTGCCTATACACTCCAAATACGGCAAAGCCTTCTGCATGTACTACGCTACAATTTCAACTATTTTAAACAGAAATACGCAGCTTTAGACTTTGATTACTTTAGTATATATGCATTGATAAAACTACAGACACGATAAACATATAACCAGAGCAAACATCAGCACTGTCTGTACACCGGGAAGAGCAGCTGCTACTGGGGGGGCCCCTTGGGGGGCCCCCCTCCGCTCTTTTGTGGGGCTTTGTTTCCCTTGAGCTACACTGGGAGTGCATCCTTTGAATTTATATCCACTTCAAAATGCATGCGGGCCCCTATGGGGCCCTCTGTCTTCTGCAGCGATGGCACAGTCAGGGGGGGTCCCCAGCCGCTGCAGCAGCAGAGACGGGGGCAGCACAAATTGCAGCAGGAACTGCAGCAGCAGCAGCAGCAGTAGCAGCAGCAGCTCCGAATCCGATGTTGGTATAATCGGAGTGGGCGTGGGGAGTCCTAGAAGGGGCCCCCGCCGCCCTCGGAAGCAGCAGCAGCGTCGGAAGCAGCAGCAGCGGCGGAAGCAGCAGCAAGAATCGGAGGGGGAAATGAGTTGCTGCAGTATTAGCAGCAGCAGCAGCAATGAGCGCAACAACAAAACCCACGACAGCAGCAACTCAGATGTATGCGTCCTCAGCTGCAGCGACGGCGAAGACTGCCTCGTTGTGGCTGCCACCGAACAGCAGCAGCAGCAGCAGCAGCAACGCCGAGCAGCAGTGAGTTCACTGCAGCAACTGTTGCTTTGCCCATCTCTTGCAGCAGCAATTGTGTCTTTGCTGCCTTCTGCTGCGGATGTACGGGCCCTGCTTGTTGCTGTTGGTTGCTGCTCCACCAGACAGCCGCGGCATGCAGAGCAGCAGCAGCAGCAGCAGCAAACACAAGATCCTTCTGCAGCATCAGTAACTGAAGCAGAAGGATCAGCTACAATAGCAACAGTGGTTACAACAGAAATGCAAACAGCGGAAGCAGCAGCTGCAGCACGAGCAACAGCAAGAGCAACAGCAGCAGCAACAACAGCAACTGCAGCACTGTCTGCTGTGGCCTACAGGTCACTGTGCATGAAGCGGCTTTCTGCTTCGAAAGCGTTCAAAAGATTTGCTGCAGCACTGCAGCAGCCGCAGCAGCGGGAGGCGCAGGCTTTAGCAGCAAGTGCTGCTGCCTGCCCATCAGAAGCAGTTAGCACCGAAGCGTCAGCAGCTGCTGCCGCAGGTACAGCAGCAACAGCAGCAACAACAGCAGCAGCAACAGCAGCAGAAACAGCAGCAACAGCAGGAGCCTTAGAAGCAGCAGCTCATCCTCAGTCTGCTGCTGCTGCCTGGCGCCAAGTGTTTTGGGTGTACGTACACCCCAACTACTGCGACGCGTGCGGGAAGAGGCTTCGCCTCCCCAGAGAACCTGCTGCTACTGCTGCTGCTGCTGCTGCAGGAAGTTCTGAAGCAGGAATAGGCCCAGAAGCAGCAGCAGCAACAACAGCAGCAGCGGCAGGAGACTCCGACGCTGAAGCAAACCGCCAAACATCAGCAGCAGCAGCAACAACGACAACAACAGCAGCAGCAACAGCAGCAACAACAACAACAGCAACGGCAACAGCAGCAACCACAACAACAACAGCAGCAGCAGTAGGATTGTGCAGCAGCTGCCGCGACTGCCTGCTGCAACGCCAGGAGGCACTGGGCATCCTCAGGCGCATGCGTGAGGACGAGTTGCTGCTGCAGATGCACCTCAGGCGCAGCAGCAGCAGCAGCAGCAGCAGCAGCAGCAGCAGGGTGGGCGAAGAATTGGGCTTACTGCCGATTCCAGCAGCAGCCTCAGGGGCGCCACCAGCAACACGGACAGCAACAGCAGCAGCAGCAGCAGGGTGGTGCCTTGGGGGTTTGTATGCAGACAAACAACTGATATTGATGCTGCGTACATCGCACATTGCTGCAGCCAACAGCATCAAGCGGAGGCTGCTGCAGCAGATGTCTTACGGCTGGGCAGAGAGCTGCGGGCCCCTCTTTGTTAGGCAGCACATTGCTGCAGCTGTTTCAGCAGCTGCAGCTGCTGCAGCAGCAACTGCAGCGGGAGGTGCTGCAGCAGCACGCGCTGCAGCCAGAGGGCCCCGACAAGACAACTTGGCGGTAATTGCCAGTCTAGCTGCTGAGACAAAACGAGTTCCTGCTGCTGCTGCTGCTGCTGCAGCAGATGCTGCTGCTGCAGCTGCTGCTGTTGCAACGCCAGCGGTAGAGGCGCCGGCAGCAACAACAGCAGCAGCTGCAGCGGCGACAGAAGATGGTTCGGTCCCTGCTGCTGCTGCTACCCCACAGAGGGAGTCGCTTGCTGCTGCTGCTGCTGAGTATCTTGCTGCAGCACAGCGTATGACGGCTCGAGGTGCTGCTGCTGTTGCTGTAGGCTTGGAGGGGGAGAGGCTGCTGCTGCAGGCTGTGGGGCCTAGCCGGATGCAGCTGCTGCTGCTTCGGGGCCCTGCTGCTGCTGCTGCTGCAGGCGCAGCAGCAGACTCAGGCAACGACACAGACACAGGTTCTGCTGCTTCTGCTGCTGCTGCTGTTGCTGTTGCTTGCGACTTCAGTGGGGTTGCTCCTTTTCTCTGCAGCAACTTAACAGCTTTGATTGCTAAGTGCTTTTCTGCCCTGCTGCGGCCATTGCTGCTGCTGCTGCACGAAGATGCTGCAGTAACTGCAGAGGAGCAGCAGCAGCAGCAGCAGCAGCAGCAGCAGCAGCAGCAGCCAGAAGCAGCAGCAGCAGCAACCCCACGGAATTTCGGTATGCGCCTCGACGACTTTTTCTGTGCATGCTCAGCCGCTCAGAGAATCGCTAAGAGGTAAACCACAAACCCTAAACCCTAAACCCTAAATCCTAGGTGCTTTTGAGTGCTCTGCACTATCTCTCGCGAACACGCCAAGGTCGGGTGGGGGCTGAGGGTTTAGGGTTTAGGGTTTAGCTTTTGTTAGAGAGGGTTTTGGGTTTGAAAGTGCATGGCTAGTGGTTTAGGGTGTTTGCGTAGAGAGTCTAGGGTTTAGGGTTTAGGGTTTATGTTTCCCCGGCTGGCTATGCATGCAAAATTGGGTTCTTCATAGTGTGCTGTCTATTGTGTATTGTAGGGTTTAGGGTTTAGGGTTTAGGGTTTGTGGTTGAGGTTTATTGTTTATGTTGTGTTGTTTATATGTGTTGCTGATTGTTGATTGCCTCTTCAACTCCACACTTTAGGGTTTAGGGTTTAGGGTTTAGGGTTTAGGGTTTAGGTTCTTTCTGCTGACGACGCACTCCGAACTAGAGGCTTTGAATTTGATGTTTATTGAGTGGGGGTCATCTCAGAGTTTGCTGCTGCGGCGGTGGCTGCGGCAGCAGCAGCAAAAGGCTGTAGGGGCATCTCTAATAGAGGGAGCAGCAGCAGAAGACAACAAAAAAAGAAAAAAAACACAAGACAACGTGCAACATAGCAGCAGCAGCAGCAGCAGCAGCAGCAGCAGCAGCAACAGCGGGGAGTCTCAGGCTGCTCTGGAGGCCGCTGTCGTTGCTGCTTTAGCCAGCAGCAACAGCAGCAGCAGCAGCAGCAGCAGAGCACACCCTGCTGCTGTTGCTTCCCTCGTTGCTGCTATGCGAAACCGAAGCAGCAGCACAGCGGACCTACCGGAAGCAGCAGCAGCAGCAGCAACAGGGAGTGCTGCCACAGGCGTAGCAGCAGGCAACAGCCGCAGCAGCAAGAAGAAGAAGAAGAATGACGACTCACCAGCAGCAGCAGCAGCAGCAGATAAAGGGGCTAGTGCTCTCTATGCTGCTTTTTTGCTGGATACTCTTTATTGTTTTTTGTTTGAAGCAAAAACAAATATACCCCTAAAACCCTTCTCTTGTGAGCCCTAAACCCTAAACCCTAAACCCTAAACCCTGGCTTTCTATTAATTCTGCATCATAAAGGGCCGCCTCTTCCGATAGTTGAGTCCGTTGCTGCTGTTGCTGCGTCTGCTGCTGCTTCTGCTGCTGCTCTTGGTGTTGCTGCTGCTTTTGCTGTTGGTGTTTGTTGGTGTTGCTACTGCGGTTGCTGCTGTTGTTTGTTGCTGCTGCTACTGTTGCTGCTATTATTGCTACTGATACTGCTTTTGCTGCTTCTGCTGTTGCTGCTGCTGCTACTACTGCTGCTGTTGCTGCTGCTGCTGTTGCTGCTGCTGCTTTTAGTGCGGCGTGTTTGTTTCTTGTTTTATTGTTTTTCTATCTGTGCTTTGCTTGCAGCATTATTTTGTATAGCTGCATGTTTGTTTTGTTTGGGTTTGCTGCTGCTGCTGCTGCTGCTGCTGTTGCTGCTGCTGTTGCTGCTGCAGCATTCGGGGCGCGCGCGATGGTTAAGGTGTTTTGGAGTTTTGCTGCTGAGCCTGCTGCTGCTTCTGCTGCTTTCAGAAAGAAGCTGTTAGCTGATGTGCAGCAGCAGCTTAATAAAAAGCAAAACCCTAGCGTTATAAAACTCCTCAATTCTCCTCTTTGCTGGCTCTAATAACGAGGGTTTAGGGTTTAGGGTTTGGAGGCGCGCGGACCCCAGCAACCCCCAACAGAAACCCTACCCTCAACTGATGCTGTCATAAAATTTGTTTTATTAAAACAAAAGCAAACGCACCTTAGGGTTTAGGGTTTAGCGTTTAGTAGCATGGGGGTCTGGCAGAGGCCGAGGCTGCCTCTCGACTGAAGAACGTTATGCACAAATTAGGGTTTAGGGTTTAGGGTTTAGCTACTTG